TTTCTTGTGCCTGTCATCCGTGTAAAATACTCTTTTCAAACTCAATGATATTAAACAGATAACATTTGACCAGAATGTCTCTAAATGTGTGGATGTTTGAAGCTCACCTAAACGCTGGGTGGCTAACAAGATGGCTAAACGTCATCACGCCAACATTAGCCGCCTTTAGCTTAGCGGTGGTGACGTGAAGTCATGTGACCGTGCTGCAGTTGTTTGAGGCCTAACGTTAGCTATTTATCCTGCAGAACAAAACGTCTAACACAAAAGTGTGTTTTCCAAAGATCTTATTTTCCTCAATCTGAAATATTTCTGTCGAGGGAGCCCTTGCAATACTATATTTCAGGTTAGCCTTAAAAAATACTTCAACACTCCACCAATCTTTTGGAGCTTGAGGATAAATAACAGAAGAAGGAAGGATGTTGAGCGACAGGATTTAGAATGTTTGTCTTTCAGAGAAAAACCACTCCCACACAGCAGCAATAAATAATACCTTTTGGTACACAACACACAGACAGACACAAAAGGACACACACAGCAGCAGCAGATTGAGGTACCAGCTGATCAGTGTCATTGTACGATGTGACCCCCCCCCCCCCCACACAGATGTGTCGTCAATAGACTGGCCTGGCTTGCACTTTGCATCAACCCACAGCGAGAATAAAACAACAAAAGCCAGATAGAGCAGCCGGGCCACACGGCCAGGTGGAAGGACGTTGATACTGAACTCAGCCGGGCTGCGATCCCAGCGGGGCTTCAGAACATATATATTCCCTGACAGCAGTAACGCAGAACCGTTTCCCCTTCCTGTCTGTGAGGCGGAAGTAACTTTATGATAAATGGACCCGGGCAGACGCAGATATAAAGGAAGGAATAGGAAATGGTGATCGAGTTCAAACACTTGGAATATACAGAAAGCTTCGTTTAAAGCCGTGTCTTTAACGGTTAAAAGCATGCAATCCAATATGCTTTGGAGCCGGTTTCTACATTACTTACAGTTTAGAAAAGTTTAGGGGGGCCATTGAATGCTTCCTCTTACATTCCTGCTTTAAAGAGTCCTCTCCTGCTGATGTTCAGGTGTATATCAGTGTGTGGTGTCTCTACTTTAAAGAGTCCTCTCCTGCTGATGTTCAGGTGTATATCAGTATGTAGTGTCTCTACTTTAAAGAGTCCTCTCCTGCTGATGTTCAGGTGTATATCAGTATGTAGTGTCTCTACTTTAAAGAGTCCTCTCCTCCTGATGTTCAGGTGTATATCAGTATGTAGTGTCTCTACTTTAAAGAGTCCTCTCCTGCTGATGTTCAGGTGTATATCAGTATGTAGTGCCTCTACTGTAAAGAGTCCTCTCCTGCTGATGTTCAGGTGTATATCAGTATGTAGTGTCTCTACTTTAAAGAGTCCTCTCCTGCTGATGTTCAGGTGTATATCAGTATGTAGAGTCTCTACTTTAAAGAGTCCTCTCCTGCTGATGTTCAGGTGTATATCAGTATGTAGTGTCTCTACTTTAAAGAGTCCTCTCCTGCTGATGTTCAGGTGTATATCAGTATGTAATGTCTCTACTTTAAAGAGTCCTCTCCTGCTGATGTTCAGGTGTATATCAGTATGTAGTGTCTCTACTTTAAAGAGTCCTCTCCTGCTGATGTTCAGGTGTATATCAGTATGTAGTGTCTCTACTTTAAAGAGTCCTCTCCAGCTGATGTTCAGGTGTATATCAGTACGTAGTGTCTCTACTTTAAAGAGTCCTCTCCTGCTGATGTTCAGGTGTATATCAGTATGTAGTGTCTCTGTGACATGGCACCTCTTTTCACCCTCTGTCTGAAACCAGAGCCCAGTCTGCTCTGATTGGTTAGCTGGCCAGCTCTGTTGTGATTGGTCAACCGCTTAGAGATGTCCCGCCCCTTAGCCTATCACGTACAATGTGTTGGAGCGCTAGCCAATAGCGGCGTAAGTGTTACACAGTGATGTCCTTATGTAACAGAAGTAAACAAAGGAGGCAAAATAAGGCGTTGCTTCCATCACTTTCAAAAACATTTGTAATTTTCTGACCTTTTATGATTCAAGCAATTCATTGATTCATCGAGGAAAGCATTGGTGGATTAATTCATAGTGAAATTAATCCTTTACTGCAGCATTACATGGATTATAGAGGATCCTGGCTAGCATGATGAAGCTAACGAAGTGTGTTTTCAGCCCATTCATCACAGCAGAGTAGGCCATTTTCTATATTGAGCAGCTTTCATTGTAACCATCTTCTATATATAGCTATTACTTGTAATGGGAACAGAGAGGAGTATATTGTATGAAAGACTCATGATGACATCCTATTCAATTTGTCGGATGGTTATTCAAAGCAGCCCCGGAGTGGATCTTAAAGTGCACACATCACTGTGAAGAGGCTGCCGTGTGTCTTCAGTTAACTCAAAGCATTAGCCCACCATGAGACGTGCTGAACATGTGTCCGAGGCAGAGATCTGTCTGCATACTCCAATCAGATCCCACTTCCCTTCACCTGGAACCCATTATGAATGCAGCAGATCTGGTTCAAAGAGGAACAAACCAGAGGGGGGGGGGGGGGGAGGATGAATGGGAATAGCGTCCATGCATCTGGAAAACCCATACGCATAATGTGCCTTCCACCCAGGGACAGAGTGCGGATGACTCCTGAAATACAGATCACTGTGAAAACACACCGTAAACCTCTGGAATCATCCGCTGTGTTTGACAGGAAAGACTTTGGCAAAGCTAGCCACCTGATAGCTGTTGATTCACGATGAACGTTCTTCTCATTCGAAAAGTTTCCCAAATGAATTGTCTACAGTGGGATGCATGCAACATTAGCTACGTTGAACCCCATTTTGTTGCAGCTTTCTCAACAACACGTCCTTGTTTCCGTGTCTTTAACCCATTACAAATGCATCAATACTAAGCCGAAGACGTTTTTGTGCAGGGTAGAAAAAAAACTAGAAACTCCTTTGGGAATAAATGAGAAGTGTGCATTTAGAGTCGCTTAAAAAAAAAAGCTGCTCAATTCATCGTATTTTAAATCACAATTACGATTTTGGCTTCCAACGATTACGAAAACAACGTAATCGAAATAAAACGATTATTTTATTATTATTAGAATTATTTTTTTTTATTATTGGTTTTTCAGTTGAGTTATTCTTAAAGTTCAGGATAATCAACTGTTAATAAAACACTGTTTTTTTTTTTTAAAATAAATGGATAATCGTTTTTAATAATCGTGATATTAATTATTGACCCAAATAATCGAGATTATGACTACACACACACACACACACACACACAAACACACACACACACACACACACACACACACACACACACACACACACACAACACACACACACACACACACACACACACACACACCACACACACACACCACACACACACACACACACACACACACACACACACACACACACACACACACACACACACACACACACACTCCACACACACACACACCACACACACACACACACACACACACACACACACACACACACACACACACACACACACACACACACACACACACACACACACACACACACACACACACACACACACACACACACACACACACACACACACACACACACACACACACACACACACACACAATTAGTGTTGAGTTAGATTGACTTGTACGCCCAAGTGGAGTGGTACCATTTGAGAAGTTATACATACATACTACCCTGTGAAATCTATTTGAGCCATCTAGAAAGAACCCAATTGTCACTAAACTCTTCAAACCTCAAAGCTGTCCTACGTGTGACAACATCATATTTCTTAAACATACGGAAATAATGGAACGGTTCTTTAAAAAGCTTGGAAACAGAGAAATGTGTAGGAAATCATTTGTGCTAAACAACATACATTGTGCTACTACAGCTTTGATGTTAACCCCCCTTTTGCGGATCATTTGGGGTAATTGATCGATTATCTGGTTTCCACAATCTCCCATAGTCTTAGGCAAACTAAAATGTGCCTGTTTTGTCTGATCAGTGGTCCAAACCCCGAAGATATTGAGTTAACATTACTATTAAAACAGAGAATGTAGGCATATGCTCACAAATGAAATAACTAAATAAGGCTTGAAAATACTTGAAAATTGACTGATTAAATATGACAAATCCCCCAATGATAATGATTACATTGCTAATACACAGCTGCATTAAATACCAGGATGTCTTGAAATATTGGATTAGAAATTAAATCAAGTGCTTGATATCTCGATTCCCCCCCTACATGTTAGGCCTCTGTACCATTTGAACGTGGCCGTTTTAGCATAAAACATCGACTATATGTAGGTATAAGGATTGGAGCATAAAACAAAGACTAATTTAATTCAGATTAGAGCAGAGGACAGAGATTCAACTAGCAGAGGTGAGCAACAGGAGCTACACCGAGAGCAGCAACAGCAGAATTAGCCATGATAGAAAGATGGCCTACTATCACTTATCCAAGATCAAAACGAATACATAGATTTCATAAGATTTGATGCATTTGGATACCAGTAGTGTTGTTAACATAGAATAAGGTGCAAGTAATCACACATCTCATATCTCTAAACCAAACCCATGCTATGTTAGCAGTGCACTGACCGGCAGACAGAATGGATCACACACTAATCCTCCACACACCTCCCTTATAAGCCCCACTGCTCTCTTATCTAGTCGACATGCATCCAAAAAAGCTCGTTCCCGATGACACATACAACCAGCTGGTGACATGTTGTTACCAGAGACACACCTGACCAGTGCGTTGGAAAAGCACGGTCACGATAAAAATGGAGAAGGAGCATTGGCGCTGCAGAGACATGGGCGCTAATTGGTAATCATGAAGCTCTCCATTAGTGAGGATGCATTGGACAATTCTGCATGTGTGTGCGCGACGCAACAACAATAACAAACGTCCCTCCATGAAAGAAGGCATGTCACATGCAAAACGGATTTTTAAAATCCAATCAGTCTTACCTGGCTGAAGTCTCTTCTTCTTCTTCTTCTTGTCTATTTAAATGGTTCAATCCGATGCTTCTCTCCTTCTCTGCATCTCATTTCGGTTCGCCCATGTCTGCAGCTCGATGGAAGAGGAGGAGGAGGCAGAGGAGCCTGTGAAGTGAGTAAATATGGGTCCCTGTTGGCCACCCAGCTGCGTGGACAGGATTTATGTCGTTTCCAAGGCAGCGTCCGTCGACCTGACGAGCGTCAAGCTGCAGCCTGTAGTGGAGAACTGACCACTTCCGGTTTCACATTTCAAATTAAAAGTCGCAATTAAAGTTACCAAACAAGGGCACAATATACTAAGAAAGAGGAACCTGTAATGTATTCCTGAATCATTTTAGAAATCAGCTATTTAATCATTTTTAACTTGAATTTAAAATGCTTGAGTTAATACGTTAATTATGTTCAGTTGGATGCCAACATTACACGTTAAATGCGTATCTGTATTGTATTGGTTAATTAACACATGTAATAAAAGATAACACAATACTATAGAACAATATCAATATTGTTAACAGAGGCTAATGCAAAAGACGTGCATGTCTTAATTTCTACACAGCACTTTTTGTGCATAGCCTATACAGTAGTAAGGGTATTCAAATTAAATTAAACATTTTTAAAGAAAGATCTAGCTGCTAAATGTTGCACAAATATGAATGCCTAAACTATACAGTTTAGGTGGTCTTTAATTAATTATTAAATACAATTACTGAGTTTTTCCACGATGTCTAATGCAAAAAACAAACAACAAAACATTTGATAGCAGTGGATAAACGTTGACATATGCAAAAGGCCACTATGACAAAACGTTCTTGTCTTTTGAGGCCATTTCTAACCCATGAACGTCACAGATTAATGCTTTTGTCAAGTGTAACTTACAGCTTGCAAATGTTTGTATGTTGGCAGCAGTGTTGTTGAATTGAACGTAAACAGGTGAAGCTAATTAGCCTGACCACCACATGGTAGCTAAAACCAATGCTAAGACTACAAGTCGCGTCTCTGCAAATAACAGTCATGCTGTACATTAATACATAGGCAGACTTGTACATTAGAGCAACAATACTCAAGAGTGACTTTATGTTGAATATTTAAAGGTTTAACTGCTCGTATTTCAAGTGGTTCCTCGCGCTAGCTTGACGCAGCTCTAACGGATTTGGGAGATGCAGCAAATCGGTGTGTAGGCGCGTGCGTATCCGAAGCCTCGCGAGTGTTTCCGGAAATTCACGAGGACACCGCCCACTCTGTGGAGGCTGCTGCGAGACTACAGAATACACACACCACTCTCCATGTAAACACGTGGGGCCATAGCGTCGTTTCTCTTTAAAAAATGACGTAATGCCAAACATAGCTTATTCACCAGTTTATTCACTGGCGTCATTCCACCTGTATGCGCACATGCTAAATAGACCAAGATACAGGAACAACAACATTATTTTCTTAACTGATGTATAATCTTTCAATTAAACACATCCATTTTAAAAAGTATGGTAATTTAAGGATGCATTTTAAGATGTGTGGAACTGTAATGGAACATTATTAAACACATTATAGTGCACTCGACATACAGTATGCAATACTCACTTGTATTCTCACCTGTCACTATTGCATATGCATAACCCTATACATTACCAACATCTAAGGCTAATTTTAAGTGTAGACTACTGTTACTAAAAATGTACAGTATTAAGTAGTTGTTGACATGGATGTAGATAACAGACCGATTTCTCCAATGTCATATTAATCTCTTTGACACGTAATTTAAACAGCATTTTAAGGTTGCATTTTTAAATTATTAGTCTATTATTTACAGTAAATTAATTGTTGTGGATCTAGGCTCCTCTTAACGCCTATTAACCCAACCCTGACCAGTTAGATAACATACACCTCGTTGGTCTAATAACAGTTTGTGAAAAGATATAACTGCATTCATTTAGTTATTAAAACCAGTGTAAAGTGCGTTGCAGACTCAAGACGTAACCTGCTGTTCCCCATCTCCACCACTGAGTGTCGCTGTTGCCTTGAGTTTGAGACAGAATCTCCTGCAGGTGTTTGGCTCCTCGGTCGCTGTTCATGGTGCTGAATCCATTTAGACACCACTGCAAGCTGACGTGTGGAAAGAAAACGCCCTGATATTGAAATCTAGGTTGCTACAAAAACCCTTTAATATCAAAGAAACAGTCGAAGTGAGTTTCACAACACAAGACTGTTGGAACAGCAGCAACACAGACGAATTGTGCCACAGTTAACTATGTCCTGTTGAGGAAGCAAGTCAAGTATTCCAAACAAACTAGAGTGTGCATGGTATAGGCTTTGAGCTGCAGACAAGTTTCACAATTGTTTACAGCACCACCAGTGAGTGTTGAACAGATGGGAAGGCATGTGGGTTTGTAGCCTCTTTAAAATGCAATGAATGAGGTGTAATTTCTTCTTCTCAGCACCTGCTGAAGTCATCACTGCTCATTTACAGCTCGGCACCGATCGATTTTATGGTCATTTTGTGCAATTAAACACCAGCGACCTGCATCCAACTGAGCGTCTCATAGGTAGAGAACGGTGCCTAATTCTTCCAGCGTGTGGAGAGCGGATATATCGGGAGGGTTTCTGCTCAGTAGAGCTCTGAAACACAGCCAAGGCATCTCTTTCGGCTGCATGGTGAAGCACTTTGTCAAAGCTCTCACTGATTGGCTGAATATAATCCATGATAATAGAGGAGTGACAGCGCCAATACACTGTTATTATTAAATCCCTCACATTTCACAGCTAGGTTCAGAGCTTTGTCATCAAATCTGAGACTCAGAATGAAAAGGACCTGGGAGTGAATGTTGATAATACCCTGACATTTAGTGACCATATCCATCGGGCAGCCAACAAAGCCAATGGTATCCTAGCAACGATCCGCAGATCATACACTTATTTGGATGTAGTTTATACACCTCTCGTGCACGGCCACTCCTCGAGTATGGGAATGTCGCCTGGTCCCCCATGTACAAAAAGGATGCTGAGCTCATCGAGACAATACAGAGACGAAGCTGGTTCCCGAACTAAAGGACCTACTATCAAGAACGACTGCGAAGTCTTAAGATCCTGAGGAGCATGCGGGCGAGGGGAGATATGATCGACGTTTTCAAATATCTCCACAACGTCTACAAAACCTCATGCCCACTACAACGGGATTATAACACCAGGACTCGTGGACACTGCCTCAAGTTGAAGAAACGGTACTCAAGACTGACCATCCGCCACAACTTGTTCAGCTTGCAGCGTGTGGTCGCACATCCAAGACGGTTAACTGTCTCAAGTCCCGCCTCGACTATCACTGGTCAAACATCACCTTCACTTTGGACTATGTGACTGTTGCCAGCATCCTTAGTGTATAAAGAACAGTGATCTACTTATTTATGAGCGACTAAAAGGCCCTACTACAGCCGTATCCTATTGACTGATCAGAGGTAAGGAAAGTCAGTCAGGAGCTTCAACTGAATATAAATGCAGTTTTTTTTACTACAGCTCAACAACTTCTAACATTTCAAACACTATTTAATGTTCTCTGAGCTGGCTTTAAAAAAAATCTAAGCTCCAAACTTATATTATTCATTTATGTTAGATATATTAAGGAGAGTCGACTGGAGACTTCAAGACGCGGCTTAAAGCAACATTTAAAACATTAGCCATGTGGTGAGTGTGCAAATAAGACAATTGTCCACACATTAGAATAATATTTTAATAAATAAATAGCAGCATCACACATAAAAAAGGAAATATACATTGTGTGTATGATGGTATCGTATAAACTCAAAACGTGTCGTAGACAAACATTCACAATTAAAATGGTATAAAAAAAACAGCCACTGCAAAACAGAAGAAGGTTCAACACGTACCCACATCACCCACGAGCGGGGGATCAAACAAGAGCGAGACAAACCAGAGAACCGGGGTGTGTGTGTGTGTGTGTGTGTGTGTGTGTGTGTGTGTGTGTGTGTGTGTGTGTGTGTGTGTGTGTGTGTGTGTGTGTGTGTGTGTGTGTGTGTGTGTGTGTGTGTGTGTGTGTGTGTGTGTGTGTGTGTGTGTGTGTGTGCTTGATGCAGAAAGGTGCTTTAGAGATGTTGGGTTTGCCAAACTCTTGAACAACCTGCAGCTCTGGCTTTTCTCGGAGACGGTTACTGACAGAGTTTGGTGTTCGGGAGGATTGGAGAGACAGCTGCTGGGAGAACAGATGGTTTGGACGGTAGTGTCTGACTCACAATTGGTAGAAAAAGTTGGCCTTATCAAAAGTTCCTCCTTTGATTCTCTTACATTCTTTGCCAGGAGGCATATGTTGTGTTGCAATATGCTGCTACTTCCAATTGTATTACCTTCCATATTGACTGAGTTTGATGAACAGATTGATACCACTCTCACGTCTGTACAGTCCACAAGAGCAGCTAATTAGCCTAGCTTAGCATTAAGCAGGGGAACAAGGGTAATCGGTTAGCTTGGTTCTGTCCAACAAAAAAGAGATATTCCCCAAAGCCCCTCCACAGCCCACTAATAAACATCTTATTTCATTTGTGAAAAAACAAAATGCAGTTTTATAGAACATAAACATTGTTCCAGTGAAACTCTCAATACAACCAACTTTAACAAAATGTATTCGGACTAAATAGGCATGTTGTTTGCCAAATAGGAAACAACATGTTATATCGATTATCTAATATATTTTATTGTATCTTTTAGTTTAACTTTGGACAGAACCATGCTAACTGTCCCCTCTGCTTCAAGTGATTATGCTAAGCTAGGCTAACTTTCCCCAACCTTTTTCAATAAAAAAGCTTTTCTCGGTGGATTGTCTTCCTCTGAAGCGTGTGCATGTGCTCTGCTTGTTTGAGCGGTACACATCCCACTGAAGCAGTTCTTGCACAACACGTTGCTGCCTGGAAAACAAGAAATAGTCAGAGAGAGGGAACAAGACCCCAAATCAGCCCTCCTGAAATGTATCAAAGTGGAACTCTGTCAATAATCGCCTCCATACACACCAGTCCTGGATCAAATCACACGTTGAAATCCCTCCAGACACTTCGTCCCAGTGATTGCTTTCATCTGTTGGACGTGAGCCGGACCGGTTGGCGTCTGCAGGGACAAACAGATCCAATCCATCGTGCCGGACACAATCGATAAACACATTTACTGGATGATTTTCAGGTAGCAGTCTGAGCCAGGCCTGGCACACGGGAGACACACAGTTATTACAAAGCGACATACTGACGTTTGCTCACACCTGGATGTAACCACGACGACCCGTGGTTCGGATAGTCCGCTCTTCTTCTCTTCTAGTTGTTGGTGTTTTGACAAAGATGCCTGCTTTGCAATGTGCCTTTTGTTGGTTTCTCTTTTTGTTCTTTTTGCTAAGTTTCCTTCCGTACAAGTATTACAAAAAAGAGAACCAAAAATATAAAACGAATGAGGCAGAGAGGACCTTTTGAACATTACTTCAAACATGCAGAATATTTGTAGGCAAACCATGGCGGCTTTAGCTCATGTAGACCTCCCCCTGTGGAGAGAAGTGGTGCCAAGGACCACTGAGTAATACACATGGTGGAGGAATGAGACAGAGATGCACAGAATCAGAATGAATTGAGACTCATTCTGACTGTGTGCAGACCTCAGGCGCTGGATGTGATTGGTCCACTGCCGGCTTTGCTTTTTGACCTTGAAAGATTAAAAAAAAGGGGGGGGGGGGGGGGGGGGTACATTCAGATGTTTGCACTTTTGGCTGTCCTATGGCTGAGGGGAGATTGACCAAAATGAAATATTGATCACTGTGAGAAATCTACTTTGGTAAGATAACAGCTAGACTCAGTTATTCACTTTTTTTAATTCGTTTTTTCATTTAAAGGAGAACTCCAGCAATGTAGCACTTCACTTCCGTAATGTTAAGAGACTAAAAAGAAACACATCAGGAAAAGATTGGACAACATCGAAGCAGCAGAGGCGGAGAAATCAAGATGGTTAGTGTCAATCTGTAAAAAACACTACAATTCCCACAATGCAACTCATCAGAATCTTTAATTGAACCTCTCTGCTGCTCCCAACAATTGAAATGATGAATTACTGTAACACGAGGTAACATCACTATGACATCATCTGGGTCATTTATTTGTATCTCAAAACGCTTTACATTAAAATGCAGTGTCAAATTGGTGGAGTGGCCCTTTAAGACGTTACTTTTCAGAATGGATGCCCTTTACAACACAAACCAGTTAGCTCTATAAAACTAAACCTACAAAGCCAATCACTTTACACAAGTTATATCTTCTTTATTATCTGTTTTGATGCTAAATCCACACGATATGAAATCCTCTTCTAAAGGCAGTGTATTCGCAGATATTTCAGCCGACGGAGATGCGGAGGAATCACTCAGCGTGTCAGATGCCAATAAAACGTGGGAGAGGAGGGAGGGCGAGAAAGTCGGTTGAAGAGCGTCTTTATGGAGTCAGGGTCTGTCTCTTAACGTATTGACCTTCTGTCCGTTTCATGCCGCAGATGAAATCTAAAGCTGTTTGCTCTTTGAGTCACTGAACGGACTGTAAAGTGGACTATTGAATCAGGGGTCAAAGCCAGTGGCGGACCCGATGGGCCGGCACTGGCCGGTCGGATCAGTCACTAGCAACTAGGGCTGCTCAATTAATCGTATTTTAATCACAATTACGATTATGGCTTGCAACGATTACGAAAACAACGTAATCGGAAAAAAATTAATGTTATTCTTTTTTTTCTTATTGGTTTTTCAGTTGAATTATACTTAGAGTTCAGGGTAATCAACTGTTAAAAACATACTGTTCAAATGTTCGCTCTCCAATAAATTGATGTTTTCAAAGTAAATGGATAATCGTTTTTAATAATCGTGATATCAACTATTGACATAATCGAGCAGCCCTACTAGCAACCCCCCCCCGGTGACAATCTACCAGCGGTATTTACTTGTGGTACCAACGTGGGCTGGTCGGATAAGTCACTAGCACCCCCCACCCCTCCCCCGTTGATAATTTACTAGCGGTAAAGAAGTGGGTCGGTCGAGAGTCCCGGGCTGAGTTTTAGTCCCAGTCCGCTCCTGGTCAAAGCTGCAATTCTTGGAGATATTGGCAAGCTTTTTATCCATCATCGTACACCAGAGCTCATTGCCCAAAGCTTCTGTTTGTCCTCTTTGACTTCGACTGTTCGAGAAGATTCTGCCTGCCTGGTTTTATTGGAGAGAAAAGTACAAGTCTAATGCTTGACCTTCAATAGAAAACCCTAATTTTCTAAAAAAGTAAATAGCCCGTAACTGCTTGTTCTTTGGCTATGTGATCTGATAATAGGACATTTATAAGTGGCCAATTGTTGGATAGAAGTGCAGGATAATCTCAATATGCTGAATTTGCATCATTACATGTTATGGTTTTAGGGGAAATGAAAGTAAGGAAGATCTTGGAAAGTGACTTATGATGGTTGCTGATGGATGAAAGCAATGACAGTGGCTGAAAATCTAAATCTATATATATTGTATTCCTTTTAAGAATGACATCTGAGGAGCGTTTGTGCACCCTTACATTACAAACGATCACATGTTCCCTTTAAAGATTGCTCCCTTTTATTGTATTGATTGTTGTCAGTAGGAACCTTTAGATGTTGGGACTCTAATTTATTCTCCGTGGTCAACAGAAGCAAAGAGCCCGACAGCTGTGTAGGACCGAAGGCCTACGTCATGTTTTTTTTTTTAGCTCTTTAAGACCCCTTGTTCAATCCAAGGTTTGACCACCAGATGGCGCTGTGACTCCACTACATTCCTTCTTCTCCGTCCTCTCTCACTGACTCCGACCGGCAGCCTGGAGAAAGGTTCCTTCTTCGGAGAGAAATCACCGTTTCTGTCGGCTGAACAGTTTGATTATACATGCTGGAAAGGTTCATTCAGATATATTTTATTTTATGACTGTTGTAGTCAAAGCTTGACTGGCACAAAAATAGATTTTGGTTTAGTTTGCTTGGACTGCATCAGGACTGTGTGAAGGCTTCGGGTCGTGGTTTGACTCTGTAACCTCCGTCAGTGGGACTCCATCGAGGGCCTCTTGACTTCATGCCAGGTTAACTGTGAGAAAAAGCTCTTCACTGACTGCTTTTCTTGTCAAACTCCTCTCCAATGGCTACCTTAGTCTCCACCAAGAACACTGACTGCTTCAATCCTCTCCTTTATGCTATGAAAACCAACATTTTGTCACCTGATAGAAAAAGAAACACGTCGAAAATGTTGGCTTTCATCTTAAAGTTTCTCTCGTAATCTGACTTTGTTGAATGTATTGCACTTCAGTTTGAGGATAAGGCTCTATCAATCTAGTCCTTTCACAATACAAGTCCTCAGGTTTACAGCCAATCACAACGATGTCCGCTTCGTCTGAAACGTTGCTCGGCAGGTTTACAAAAGAATACTTTAAAAACGACACAAAAAAACACGCAATCACACGCTGCTGGTGTCTTCTCTGGAGGCGGGACTATAGCTGATGACTGACAGCTCCTGCTCCACCTCTGTTTCGGTTCCCGGCTCCACCTCAGTTTCCGAGAGCATCCCGATGTTCTGGCATTCGGAGAGGCTCTGCGACACTATTCCGATTTGAGTCTCGTCGTCTGTAAAGTCCTCCGGGTCCACCGTCAGCCTCCCGTTGTCCCCCCGCCCGTTTCGACAGTTACTATTGCGGTCTATGCTTGTTTTACCGTCCCTCCCCATCAGGAGGGGGGTCACAGAGTGCGAGGGGCACTGAGGGGCGACCAGGAAGGTTTTACAGCTCTGTCCCGCTGCGTTGGCCCCCCGCTTTGTAGCGGCACCTGATGTAGCTGGAGAAGGCCCTCCTGTAGGTCTTGTTGAAGAGGGTGTAGACCAGAGGGTTCACCCCAGAGGAGATGTAGCCCACCCACACGAAGACGTTGAGGAGGTCGTTGAGCAGCGACTCGTTGCAGGACCCCCGGCACAGCACGAAGGTGACGTTGGTGATGAAGAAGGGACACCACATGATGAGGAAGAGGAAGAAGACGATTCCCAGGACCTAAAGATGGAAATAGGCAAAAGTACACACATCCTTTACTCAAGTAGAAGTACAGATACTCGTGTTTAAAAATACGAGAACAACCTGTTTCGATTTAATCACATGATTTAGTTCCTGGGAACACAGAAGGTCAATCTGAGTGTAGCAATATAAAGAAAGGACTGGAACATGCTTAAATAAACACTTCATGATCAAATCAAACCACCTGTTTCTGGCAAAAGTACACACATCCTTTACTCAAGCAGAAGTACAGATGTTTGAAAATACTCTGGTTAAAGTAAAAGTACTGACTAGACTTCTTTACTCAAGTAGAAGTAAAGAAGTATGGGCTTCGAAATGTACTTAAAGGTCAACTATCATGCTATTTTTAGGCAATAGCATAGGTCTCAGATATATACAAATATATAAAAAACATGTCTATGAAGTGTTTTGCTCAAAATACCAAACAGATCACCCATTCTAGCCATGCCTCATATCCCTCTATTTCACTTCCTGTTTCCAAAGTGCTGATTTGGGGTATAAAGCTTTAAAAAAAAAAAAAGATTGAAAAAAATAAAAAGGAGGGGTCTGAGCTCATGAGGGACCCGGCAGCTACTGTCTAAACTAAATGCTGCCGTGATGAAACGCCATATCATGGATTATCAAGGGTTCTCTCTGAAACAGTTTGGAGCTCAAATGCTTTCTCTCTTGCCGGTTATACCACAAGGTGAGTTCCTTTTTACTTCCTGCTTCTTCACACACATGCTCTCCAGTACAGGTTAGCTCTGAGTGTTAGCGATGCTAATGTAAACACCGACCATATTACGTCCAAAACAGTCGGGCATTGTTTCTGATAGCAACGTTTCTGATTGGCCCGTGGGTCCACATTTCAGATATTACGTCATATCGGACGCAAATCTGGATCAGCTCCGTTGTTCCCCGTTTTTAGAGATTTGGGTACGGAGGAAAAGAGAGAGGGTTTTATTTTCTGACGCTGCCTGAGTTCCCCGACACACCGGGGACACATGTTTATGTATAACAGACATCAAAAAGTGCATTTTGCATGATAGGTCCCCTTTAAATAAAAAGTACCCATAACTACCAGCTGTTTTAAAGAGTACCTGACCTCCCTTTATATTAATAGAACAATAATGTCATTGTTAGCTAATGAATGTTTCCATGCTGAACAACGGCAACATGACAACGTTTCCATTGGTCCCTCTTCTTTAGAGAAGACCAGGAAATGATGGATACACGGATCGTGTTCAAATCAATAGGCACGCAATGACTCTAAAGAATAATGATCACGCATCAAACACACATTCAGACTAAAGGAACCAGCTGTTTGGAAAATGAGAGAAGTAGAAAGTACAGGTATTTGAGTTCAACATGTAAGAAGTAGAAAGTACAGGTATTTGTGTTCAACATGTAAGAAGTAGAAAGTACAGGTATTTGTGTTCAACATGTAAGAAGTAGAAAGTACAGGTATTTGAGTTCAACATGTAAGAAGTAGAAAGTACAGGTATTTGAGTTCAACATGTAAGAAGTAGAAAGTACAGGTATTTGGGTTCAACATGTAAGAAAAGTCGTCAGAAAAATAAGTAGTGGAGTAAAGTACTGATACCAGAGAAATGTACTTAGGTTCAGTAACGAAGTAGTTGTACTCCACTACCTCCCACCTCTGCCCATGAGGTGTTTATTTGAGCATGTTCCAGTCCTTTCTTTATATTGCTACCCTCAGAATGACCCTCTGTGTTCCCAGGAACTAAATCATGTGACTGAATAGAAAACAGGTTGTTCTCGCCTCCATGATTCAAGGTTATTACCTCCGTGGTTCACCGTCAAATCAATAAATAATAACACCATTTGGAAAGGTTGTTGTCACGACATGACCTTGGAAGTGAGTAAATCAAGCTTTGTTATCTAGCAATCCTAAAGGTGGAATACTGTGAAACCATATCTATAATATCACCTTATTATTATTAGCATTTAGCCCTTTAATGAAGCCACTGCTCTTTGTTGTAGTGCCCTTAGCTCGAGCATCAAATCACTCAAAGTTGCGCTCAAAATTGTAAGCCTCTTCAATTATTAGTTTATGAAATGCTTTTCTTATATAAAGCATTTTCAAGTTCCGACTTTATTATTTTTTATTAGACACGAGTGGATGCTCGTGTTTAGACAAAAGAAATGTCACAATTTACAACTTTCCACTTTCAAGCCATCTTAAAGGTGTTGCCCTGGAAACCATGGCCATATTATTACGTTATTATAATGAGCGTTTTGCCCTTTAATTAAGCCATTAAGTGTCTTTAGCTCGAGCATCAAATTACTCAAAGTTGCGCTCAAAATTGTAAGCCTCTTCAATTATTAGTTTATGAAATGCTTTTCTTATATAAAGCATTTTCAAGTTCCGACTGTATATTTTTTTGATTAGACAGGAGTGGATGCTTGTGTTTAGACAAAAGAAATGTCACAATTTACAACTGGTATTTGTGTTAGAAATGTAAGAAGTAAAAGTAAAGAGTCGTCAGAAAAATAAGTAGTGGAGTAAAGTACTGAAACATGTACTTAGGTACAGTAACAAAGTATTCGTACTCCACTACTTCCCACCTCTGGAAATAGGAGAAAACAAAGGTTAGAACAAGTTGAAAATGAGAGGAGAAAGGCAGCAATTTAAAATAAATCACAATTAAATTAATGAAATACATCAAAGCCGAATCAAGAAAAGTGCAAAGTCAGATAAGAGGAAAGAAAAAATAACAACATAGAAACTAATTTATTTCCATGGGTGGTAGTTTTTGTGAAGTAAAAGGGATAACGAGTATAAACAAATGACCTTTTCCATTCACTACACGCTTCGTGACTTTCTCTAATTGAAATGCATGATTCATTCATTCATGCCAGATGTTAGTTTTCGATACAGGCGAGTGCTTTGGTCTCCACGCAACGTCAGTTTGAAAGTTACGATCCGTTAAAGCTAAGCACGATAGGAGCTGAATAAAATCATTTTTTTATACAGTTGCAAGAAAAAGTATGTGAACCCTTTGGATTCTCCACACATAGCGTTGTGTGTTCCTTCCAAACAACTCAACTTTGGTTTCATCTGTCCACAGAATATGTTGCCAGTAGTGCCGTGGAACATCCAGGTGCTCTTTTGCAAACTTCCAAAGTGCAGCAATGTTTTTTCTGGACAGCAGTGGTGTCCTCCGTGGTGTCCTCCCATGAACTCCATTCTCGTTCAGTGTTTTACGTATCGTAGATTCGTCAACAGAGATGTTAGCATGTGCCAGAGATTTCTTTAAGTCTCTAGCTGACACTCTAGGATTCTTCTTCACCTCATTGAGCATTCTGCGCTGTGCTCTTGCAGTCGTCTTTACAGGACGGCCACTCCTAGGGAGAGTAGCAACAGTGCTGAACTCTCTCCATGTATAGACAATGTGTCTTACCGGACTGATGAACATCAAGGCTTTTAGAGATACTTTTGTAACCCTTTCCAGCTTTATGCAAGTCAACAATTCTTAATCGTAGGTCTTCTGAGAGCTCTTTTGTGCGAGGCATGGTTCACATCTGGCAATGCTTCTTAAGAATAGCAAATTCAAAACTGGTGTGTATTTTGTATAGGGCAGGGCAGCTTTAACCAACACCTCCAATCTCGTCTCATTGATTGGACTCCAGGTTGGCTGACTCCTGACTCCAATTAGCTCTTGAAGAAGTCTTTAGCCTAGGGGTTCACCCTGCACTGTGAATGTTTACATGGTGTGTTCAATAAAAACATATAACTGTTTGTGTGGTATTAGTTTAAGCAGACTGTGTTTGTCTATTGTTGTGACTTAGATGAAGATCAGAACACATTTTATGACCAACTTATGCAGAAATCCAGGTCATTCCAAAGGGTTCACATACTTTTTCTTGCAACTGTATATTCGCCCTTTAAGGGGAGCAGGGTGGGACAATGAAGATAGATTTAACTTTGATGCAGGAGTGGAGAGCACGATGTCTTACTGAGTCTTTTATATCACTGCAGCAAGTTAGACCCTGTTATATTGTTACGTTTCTTACATCCAAGCACAAGCAAACTATCATGTCCCAACTGAAATACAGTTTAAACTTGCTAATTATTTATATAAGAAGCGTATTAGTATTTCATAAAAGAAAGATTAATGAGACTTGCACATTTGAGCGTTCAATGCCAGCTTTGGGTCATTTGATACTCGAGCTAAAGACACTTAATGGCTTAATTAAAGGGCAAAACGCTCATTATTATAACGTAATAATATGGCCTTGGTTTCCAGGGCAACACCTTTTAAGATGGCAAGAAAACAAAGTGGAAAGTTGTAAATTGTGACATTTCTTTTGTCTAAACACGAGCATCCACTCGTGTCTAATCAAAAAAATAAAGTCGTAACTTGAAAATGCTTTATATAAGAAAAGCATTTCATAAACTAATAATTGAAGAGGCTTACAATTTTGAGCGTTCAGTGGCAACTATGAGTAATTTGATGCTCGAGCTAAGGGCACTACAACAAAGAGCAGTGGCTTCATTAAAGGGCTAAATGCTAATAATAATAATAATAAGGTGATATTATAGACATGGTTTCACAGTATTCCACCTTTAGGATTGCAAGATAATAAAGCTTGATTTACTCACTTCCAAGGTCATGTCGTGACAACAACCTTTTCCAAATGGTGTTATTTCTTAGGAACAGATTGATTTGACGGTGAACCACGGAGGTAATAACCTTGAATCATGGAGGCGAGAACAACCTGTTTCTATTCAGTCACATGATTTAGTTCCTGGGAACACAGAGGGTCATTCTGAGGGTAGCAATATAAAGAAAGGACTGGAACATGCTTAAATAAACACCTCATGGGCAGAGGTGGGAGGTAGTGGAGTACAACTACTTCGTTACTGAACCTAAGTACATTTCTCTGGTATCAGTACTTTACTCCACTACTTATTTTTCTGACGACTTTTGACTTTGACTTCTTACATTTTGAACTCAAATACCTGTACTTTCTACTTCTCACATGTTGAACACTAATACGTGTACTTTCTACTTCTTACATGTTGAACACAAATACTTGTACTTTCTACTTCTTACATGTTGAACCCAAATACCTGTACTTTCTACTTCTTACATGTTGAACTCAAATACCTGTACTTTCTACTTCTTACATGTTGAACCCAAATACCTGTACTTTCTACTTCTTACATGTTGAACCCAAATACCTGTACTTTCTACTTCTTACATGTTGAACCCAAATACCTGTACTTTCTACTTCTACATGTTGAACTCAAATACCTGTACTTTCTACTTCTTACATGTTGAACCCAAATACCTGTACTTTCTACTTCTTACATGTTGAACACAATACCTGTACTTTCTACTTCTTACATGTTGAACTCAAATACCTGTACTTTCTACTTCTTACATGTTGAACACAAATACCTGTACTTTCTACTTCTTACATGTTGAACTCAAATACCTGTACTTTCTACTTCTTACATGTTGAACCCAAATACCTGTACTTTCTACTTCTTACATGTTGAACACAAATACCTGTACTTTCTACTTCTTACATTTTGAACTCAAATACCTGTACTTTCTACTTCTTACATGTTGAACCCAAATACCTGTACTTTCTACTTCTTACATGTTGAACACAAATACCTGTACTTTCTACTTCTTACATGTTGAACTCAAATACCTGTACTTTCTACTTCTTACATGTTGAACACAAATACCTGTACTTTCTACTTCTTACATTTTGAACTCAAATACCTGTACTTTCTACTTCTTACATGTTGAACCCAAATACCTGTACTTTCTACTTCTTACATGTTGAACCCAAATACCTGTACTTTCTACTTCTTACATGTTGAACCCAAATACCTGTACTTTCTACTTCTTACATGTTGAACCCAAATACCTGTACTTTCTACTTCTTACATGTTGAACCCAAATACCTGTACTTTCTACTTCTTACATGTTGAACACAAATACCTGTACTTTCTACTTCTTACATGTTGAACCCAAATATCTGTACTTTCTACTTCTTACATGTTGAACCCAAATACCTGTACTTTCTACTTATTACATGTTGAACACAAATACCTGTACTTTCTACTTATTACATGTTGAACTCAAATACCTGAACTTTCTACTTCTTACATGTTGAACTCAAATACCTGAACTTTCTACTTCTTACATGTTGAACACAAATACCTGTACTTTCTACTTCTTACATGTTGAATCCAAATACCTGTACTTTCTACTTCGTACATGTTGAACACAAATACCTGTACTTTCTACTTCGTACATGTTGAACTCAAATACCTGTACTTTCTACTTCGTACATGTTGAACTCAAATACCTGTACTTTCTACTTCTTACATGTTGAACACAAATACCTGTATTTTCTACTTCGTACATGTTGAACACAAATACCTGTACTTTCTACTTCTTACATGTTGAACCCAAATACCTGTATTTTCTACTTCGTACATGTTGAACCCAAATACCTGTACTTTCTACTTCTTACATGTTGAACACAAATACCTGTACTTTCTACTTCTTACATTTTGAACTCAAATACCTGTACTTTCTACTTATTACATGTTGAACCCAAATACCTGTACTTTCTACTTCTTACATGTTGAACCCAAATACCTGAACTTTCTACTTCTTACATGTTGAACCCAAATACCTGTACTTTCTACTTATTACATGTTGAACCCAAATACCTGAACTTTCTACTTCTTACATGTTGAACACAAATACCTGTACTTTCTACTTCTTACATGTTGAACCCAAATACCTGTACTTTCTACTTCTTACATGTTGAACTCAAATACCTGTACTTTCTACTTCTTACATGTTGAACCCAAATACCTGTACTTTCTACTTCTTACATGTTGAACCCAAATACCTGTACTTTCTACTTCTTACATGTTGAACACAAATACCTGTACTTTCTACTTCTTACATGTTGAACACAAATACCTGTACTTTCTACTTCTTACATGTTGAACTCAAATACCTGTACTTTCTACTTCTTACATGTTGAACTCAAATACCTGTACTTTCTACTTCTTACATGTTGAACTCAAATACCTGTACTTTCTACTTCTTACATGTTGAACTCAAATACCTGTACTTTCTACTTCTTACATGTTGAACTCAAATACCTGTACTTTCTACTTCTTACATGTTGAACACAAATACCTGTACTTTCTACTTCTTACATGTTGAACACAAATACCTGAACTTTCTACTTCTTACATGTTGAACTCAAATACCTGTACTTTCTACTTCTTACATGTTGAACACAAATACCTGTACTTTCTACTTCTTACATGTTGAACTCAAATACCTGTACTTTCTACTTCTTACATGTTGAACTCAAATACCTGTACTTTCTACTTCTTACATGTTGAACTCAAATACCTGTACTTTCTACTTCTTACATGTTGAACACAAATACCTGAACTTTCTACTTCTTACATGTTGAACTCAAATACCTGTACTTTCTACTTCTTACATGTTGAACTCAAATACCTGTACTTTCTACTTCTTACATGTTGAACTCAAATACCTGTACTTTCTACTTCTTACATGTTGAACTCAAATACCTGTACTTTCTACTTCTCTCATTTTCCAAACAGCTGGTTCCTTTAGTCTGAATGTGTGTTTGATGCGTGATCATTATTCTTTAGAGTCATTGCGTGCCTATTGATTTGAACACGATCCGTGTATCCATCATTTCCTGGTCTTCTCTAAAGAAGAGGGACCAATGGAAACGTTGTCATGTTGCCGTTGTTCAGCATGGAAACATTCATTAGCTAACAATGACATGTTCTATTAATATAAAGGGAGGTCAGGTACTCTTTAAAACAGCTGCTAGCTATGGGGACTTTTTACTGAAGTACATTTCAAAGCCTCTTTACTTTCACTTGAGTAAAGAGGTTTAGTCAGTACTTCTACTTCTACCAGAGTATTTTTAAACACGAGTATCTGTACTTCTACTTGAGTAAAGGATGTGTGTACTTTTGCCATCTCTGCTCAAACCACCTGTTTTCTGCACCTTAATCACCCTACAACTTCAACCCATTCTCACCTTTGAGGCCCGTCTCTCGTTCTTTATGGCCTGCATCATCCCTCGTCGCCCGTGGCAACCCGAGGTGTCGCTGCGCCCGTGTCCCGCAGCCGGAGAGCTGAGCTGCGACGCCACCTCGGAGCCGCCCGCGATGCTGATGGAGTCGGACTGGGGGGCGCGGAGCAGCAGGCCGGGCTCTGCTGCCTTCAGACAGCTCAACGTGTTGCGTCTGCTCTGAAGAGGAGGGGGCTTCAACTCTGTGAGAGAGGGGTCCGAAGAACATATAAAGGCCTCTTTAAGTATCTGAGTACTTCTTCATGTCTGATAACGATATCATAAGGGTCATACAACTCCACTACTAAAAACTTGTGGCACTCACAGTTTAACAATTATAAAACATATAGGGTTAAATAAACAGGCTTTACCTTGCGAGTCTGACGGAGAGATGGTCTTGATCTGAGGAACGGAGAAGGTGCTGGCTGGAGGCTGCAATGTGATCGCTGGTGGGTGCAAAGGCTGCTGGGAGGAAGTCTTTGACTCGCACAGGAAGACAATGGCCTGTCTCTGGAGCACCTGGAGAGGAGAGGGAGGGAGAGGGGTTAAAGGTCACCTATCATACAGTTTTTCATCAATATATTATAGGTCTCAGATATATACAAAATATGTCTCTGATTGGCTCCAAACACCAAACAGATCATTGCAGCATTACCCATAATCCCCTCTGTTTCAGCCCTGTTTCCAAAGTGCTGATTCTCTGTCTGTTACATTAGATGAAAATAAGGAGCCCCTCCCCACGCCCCCCTGAGAGAGATTTGGTTACAAAGAACACAATAGGCGCGTTCACACCGGAGTACTTTTACCCGTACTTTTCCCGTTTAGTTCCGTTAGTGTCTGGAATTTTGCGTTCACACCAAAAAGAGAACTTAGTTCAGAGAACTTTTACCCTCATTTGTAGTGCCTGCTAGAGAGGTGGTGCTATCATGGGGAGAAAAAAGTACCAATTTCTGATTGGCTGGGCGAATTGCAAACCACGCCTCGTAAAACTCTGAAAGGTTTTGTGAAGCCGCCATTGTATTTGCTGGCATTAGCATTATTAGCATTAGCATTAGCCCCGCGCACCAACGGAGAGAGACTAACTTATGGCAACACAAAAGAAAACATGGAGGCGGTGGAGATGAGGAGGTGTCGGCGTTCTGGCGATTTACTCGGAAGGCTTCAGTAGAAGCTGCTGGGAGTCCCTGCAGCTTCTACTGAAGCCAGTCCCCAACTCCGGGGACTTCCGGCCGGGGACTTTGGGCGGCAGTATACGCCGTGAAGTGGTTTGCGGCCTGCCAGTAAACCCAAAGCAGAAGAAGACGAAGAAGTGACGTCAGCGGCTTCATAGAAGAGACATGAAGAAGAGGGACACATGTTGATGTAGAAGAGACATGAAGAAGAGGGGACACATGTTGATGTAGAAGAGACATGAAGAAGAGGGGACACATGTTGATGTAGAAGAGACATGAAGAAGAGGGGACACATGTTGATGTAGAAGAGACATGAAGAAAGAGGGGACACATGCTGATGTAGAAGAGACATGAAGAAGAGGGGACACATGTTGATGTAGAAGAGACATGAAGAAGAGGGGACACATGTTGATGTAGAAGAGACATGAAGAAGAGGGGACACATGTTGATGTAGAAGAGACATGAAGAAGAGGGGACACATGTTGATGTAGATAGAAGAGACATGGAGAAGAGGGGACACATGTTGATGTAGAAGAGACATGAAGAAGAGGGGACACATGTTGATGTAGAAGAGACATGAAGAAGAGGGGACACATGTTGATGTAGAAGAGACATGAAGAAGAGGGGGACACATGTTGATGTAGAAGAGACATGAAGAAGAGGGGACACATGTTGATGTAGAAGAGACATGAAGAAGAGGGGACACATGTTGATGTAGAAGAGACATGGAGAAGAGAGGACACATGCTGATGTAGAAGAGACATGGAGAAGAGGGGACACATGCTGATGTAGAAGAGACATGAAGAAGAGGGGACACATGTTGATGTAGAAGAGACATGAAGAAGAGGGGACACATGTTGATGTGGAAGAGACATGAAGAAGAGTGGACACATGTTGATGTAGAAGAGACATGAAGAAGAGGGGACACATGTTGATGTAGAAGAGACATGAAGAAGAGGGGACACATGTTGATGTAGAAGAGACATGAAGAAGAGGGGACACATGTTGATGTAGAAGAGACATGAGAAGAGGGGACACATGCTGATGTAGAAGAGACATGAAGAAGAGGGGACACATGTTGATGTAGAAGAGACATGAAGAAGAGGGGACACATGTTGATGTAGAAGAGACATGAAGAAGAGGGGACACATGTTGATGTAGAAGAGACATGAAGAAGAGGGGACACATGTTGATGTAGAAGAGACATGAAGAAGAGGGGACACATGTTGATGTAGAGAGACATGAAGAAGAGGGGACACATGCTGATGTAGAAGAGACATGAAGAAGAGGGGACACATGTTGATGTAGAAGAGACATGAAGAAGAGGGGACACATGTTGATGTAGAAGAGACATGAAGAAGAGGGGACACATGTTGATGTAGAAGAGACATGAAGAAGAGGGGACACATGTTGATGTAGAAGAGACATGGAGAAGAGGGGGACACATGTTGATGTAGAAGAGACATGAAGAAGAGGGGACACATGTTGATGTAGAAGAGACATGAAGAAGAGGGGACACATGTTGATGTAGAAGAGACATGAAGAAGAGGGGACACATGTTGATGTAGAAGAGACATGAGAAGAGGGGACACATGTTGATGTAGAAGAGACATGAAGAAGAGGGGACACATGTTGATGTAGAAGAGACATGGAGAAGAGAGGACACATGCTGATGTAGAAGAAACATGGAGAAGAGGGGACACATGCTGATGTAGAAGAGACATGAAGAAGAGGGGACACATGTTGATGTAGAAGAGACATGAAGAAGAGGGGACACATGTTGATGTGGAAGAGACATGAAGAAGAGGGGGACACATGTTGATGTAGAAGAGACATGAAGAAGAGGGGACACATGTTGATGTTAGAAGAGACATGAAGAAGAGGGGACACATGTTGATGTAGAAGAGACATGAAGAAGAGGGGACACATGTTGATGTAGAAGAGACATGAAGAAGAGGGGACACATGCTGATGTAGAAGAGACATGAAGAAGAGGGGACACATGTTGATGTAGAAGAGACATGAAGAAGAGGGGGACACATGTTGATGTGGAAGAGACATGAAGAAGAGGGGACACATGTTGATGTAGAAGAGACATGAAGAAGAGGGGACACATGTTGATGTAGAAGAGACATGAAGAAGAGGGGACACATGTTGATGTAGAAGAGACATGAAGAAGAGGGGACACATGTTGATGTAGAAGAGACATGAAGAAGAGGGGACACATGTTGATGTAGAAGAGACATGAAGAAGAGGGGACACATGTTGATGTTTGCATAATAGGGGACCTTTAAGGGGAAGAAACACAGGTTAAGTGTTCAGAGGGCAAATAGAGGCTGATATACCTGTATGGTGAGGCAGTACGACACCACCATGATGACCAGCGGGATGAAGAAGGCCACGAAGGAGCCAATCAGCATGAAGCGCTCCTCGTTGAGGACACAGCTGCCGTTCACAAAGACCTTGTCCTCGTTGTGGAGGCCGATCACCGGGATGGGCATCGACACGCCTGGAGAGGAAGAGTGGGGAAAAGGAATTAAAGTCTATCGTTTAAAACCAAAAGGAATCTTGTTGTTAATTGCTTACATGATAACAATTGGGCAAAAACACAAAGATAATCATAGGGTAGAATATCTAAATGTATATGACGTCAAATGTATACATGCTGTAACCATGGGGTGATTATAGCGTAATCAGCTCAAAAAAGGAGTCTCTTAAGAATAAATAGAGAACTTATTTTCACTTTTCTTTCCTGCTGTATCCGTCACGATCTGATTGTGTTCTATTGTTGTCCTTTTCTCTTTGGTTTCCTGTTTTAGTTTGAAAAGCGTCTGTTGCTTCCTGTCTCTGTGTTCCCTCCTGCCTGTGATTGTGGTCACCTGGTGCCCCTGTGTGTTCTCCTCCCTCCTCACCTGTGTCTTGTTTGTTTGATCAGTCCTGTGTGCATTTAGGTTCTGCTTTCTCTGTGAGCCTTTATGAGATCCTTGTTGTTGTTGACTGTGTTCACGGGGGAGAGAGTTCTGCTGTGTTTGTTACTTAGGTATTTTCTGTTAAACCTGCTTTTGGCTCAACCCTGACTGTAACAACGTAGACCCATTCTCTGTAAAATAGCAGAAAATTATAACAAAAACTCTTCATGTAGTGAAAAAAGAACAACATAAAGATGGAAATAATAATGACATAGTTTTACAATATTCAAGGCATATTTCCAGTTTAATAATTGTATTATTTATGAATGATTTAAAGCAGGGGTGTCAAACTCAAGGCCCGGGGGCCAAATCCGGCCCGTGACTTCATTTCATGCGGCCCCACAAGAACTTGCAAAGAATATAATATATTTATTATACGGTTACAGGCCGCTTGACAGAAGCACGTTGCCCATAAACTACATGTCCCACAATGCATCTCTCATTTGACTTTTTTTTCAAAATGTTACTTTTTTCTAAGAATTTGACTTTTTCTTCAAAATATGCCTTTTTTAGAATTAGCTTTTTTCTCAGAATTTGACTTTTTTTCCTATAATTATTATGAATTATGAATTTGGCTTTTCTTTTTAAATCATTTTGTGACATGCAATAGAGAGACTTGCAATTATTTGCCCTAGACTTCTGCTTTCAGACGTAGTTAATTATGAAGTTATTCCCCTATCCGATATTAATCCAATGCAGAGGCAATAATGTAATACAATACATTATTTTATATACATCTTTTTATATAGTCTTAAAGTTACAACCGGCCCTTTGAGTGCAACCATAATGCTAATATGGCCCGTGATGAAATTGAGTTTGACACCCCTGATTTAAAGGGCTGTAAGAACATTTTTATGTTGAAGAAAATGTATAAAGAAAGTGTAATTAGACAGTATGAAGTTTTGGTTGTGTTCGGGTTTTATGTTTCAACTGCGACTGGAAGAATATTGCTGTTTTTATTTGACTTTTTAATGGTTATTTATTTAACATTTTTTATGTAAGAAGTTTCAGGTAAAATAAGATGTTCTTCTCAACCAGTATGACTGTACATGTTTTGTTTTAAAATAACTGCCATGTGTGGAATAGATAAGATAATATATAACTTAGGGGAGGCGCAGTGGGTTGTGCGTTGGTGTTCGGTTCACAGGTTCAAACCCCACTGCAGTCAGCATGTCGTTGTCCTCCCTGGGGATTGCCCACAGTATTTAGTATGTAAGTCGCTTTGGATAAAAGCGTCTAACAAGTGACATGTGATGTAACTTTATTGATCCCAATTTGGGAAATGTTTTGCATTGTACAATAAAAATAAAAAGACAAGAAATAAACAAGAAAGTAGAAAATATACATGTTGCATTTACAAATGAATAAGATATAAAGCAAGGTATTATATTTACACAAGTATGTGACGGTTGGAATAGTAAATATTAGACCGCATATACAAATGTAAAATGTACAGTGAAGAGAACAACTATGGAGCAGAGAGTTCTCTTCCAGCCAGAGGTGATTTGTTGTACAGAGTTATTGCAGTAGGCAGGAATAAACAAATAAATAAATAATAATAATGTGAGCGTGACACGGATCAGAGACGTCCCGACTTGTCTCAGAAACACTCCCGTTGCTAAGGGCTTGAAATGTGTGACCTGGAGTAGCTTTTCTCCTCAGTGTCTGCTCCGCCGAAACAGATCCCAGGTCAGCGAAAGCACTCTTTGAAATCAGAAGAGGCCCATTAGGCGCTCATTAAGTCGGCCTCAAGCACAACTAAGAGTTTAAGAGAAAAAAAACTGAGTCAAGTAAAATAAACGTTATTTCAAAAGTAAAATTATAAGTTGCAAACAAATAATTTGTGTAATCATGTGAACTATTGGTCTTTTTTCTTTTGTATGACATATCTCTTCTCTTTGCTTCTGTCTCAATGATCAGACTTCTGCGCCAAACAATGTCCTCTAACAGCACCAGAGCAGCAAAACACTATGGCTGCGTTTCACTTCGGTTACATGGATTCCTTGCGTCCCTCACTTGCGTCGTTTCCCTGCGACTGGTCCCTCCTACCAGGGAAGCACGGAGAGACGCAAGGAAACCACGAGAAGCAGGGGCCGTTTCTCAATCTCGAGGATACTGGCTTCCAAGCCAATATTTCAAGGATGCTACGTCATCGAGTGTCGCCGAAGGACTGTTTCAATCTCCAGCATACTTGGAATTCCACCGAGGCCGCGTCCTTGGTTTGGGGGAAATTTCGAGGCTGCACATGGGTAGACTTCGCGTCCTTAAAATCCCCACAATGCTTTGCGCACGGACCAATTTAAAAAACCCTTGCGGAGAATGGCTGAACCGATGCAGCACACATTTAGTGGCGTAGAACATGTGTTGGTAAATATGTTACTTTGTTACATTTGTTATCACCAACAAAGTGTTCCGGGAAAGTAAAGCAAGTTCATAATTAGATAGACATCGTGAGGTATTTATTTTCGGTACAGTTTATGTTGAAACCGTTAGAGAGAGTGGCACGCTTGTTTGCCTGTTCCATTCTTCTTCGTTTTCCGAAGCCGTGGCTTGGAAGCATACTTGCTTCGTTTCTGAAGGAAGTGACTTGGAAGTACGCGACTACCAAGCCAGCATCCTCGCGATTGAGAAACGGCCACGGAAATGAGTTTTAAGAGCAATGGGACGTCGTTTCCTCCGGAGCGTCACGTGAAGCGACGTCCGTTTGTGATGACGCCGCACAGCTGATCGTCTGACAGCAGCCAGATCAGTGCATGCGCTGCATCGTCCAATCAGTGAGCGATACACAGTGAGGGGGCGGGGCGAGTGTCTGAGGATTTCACTGGAGGATGGTCTGGTAGTTCCTCGATTATCGCTCCTCCGTTATCGCTCCTCGATCCTCCGGCACAAATAAGGCCATTGGGACGCTACTCAAGATGGCGCAGACAAATCAACTTCCGGTGAGACCGAGACCGAGGAGCGAGGAAATGAATAATAAGAGAAGTGAAACTCACATCATGAACATCCATCACTCACTGATAGCGTTTAGCAATTCAGATTCATCAGCTGAGTCTCTATAGCCCCCTCTAATATGTTTTATCGCTCTCATTATGATGTGCTCTCATGATATCTTCAATTAAAACAGATTGAGTTTTAACATTTAATGCTAATGTCTCTCAAAAATGGTGATGTGTTTGTCACAGGTGTGTCACACCGATCATGAGGAAGTGATTAAGCATTTTGCAGCCATGATTTTTTTGTTATATTAAAACGACCCGCTGTGTTCACAGGAATGTAACCTGACATTAACTAGAAACAGCTTGTTTCCCCCATTCGATTAAAAATGATTACCTCCATGGATCACGTCAAATCAATCTGTTTCCAAGAGGCTTATTTGTTTACAATATAACCTTGAGATGTTTTGGATGGCGGAGAAACAATTGGAAGCATCATTTTCTTTTAGATATTGATGGTTTGCTTCATACATAATAAAGTTATTAAACTGGAAATATGCCTGGAATATTGTAAAACTATGGCAATATGATTTCCAAAATGTTATAATTGTTATCACATTTTGTTTATGTTGTTCTTTTTTCACTATATGAAGCATTTTTGCAACAATTTTCGGCTATTTTACAGAGAATGGGTCGCATCTGTAGAACAAGGATCTTTTCATTTTAATATATATATATATATATATATATATATATTACAATGTGGTTCTGATACTTAATACATGTGAAATGTGAAAATAAGTTCTCTATTTATGCTTAAAGGGCCCATGTCATGCTTTTCTGGTTATCACCCGTCCCCTTGTTGTTATGAAGGTTTTTCTGCATGTAAACGGTCTGCAGAGTCCCAAACCCTCAAAGTACACCCTGTAGCGAGTAAAACTCTAACACAGAGAATACCTGTCTGTGCTGCCCCAGAACGCCTCGTTGGGGATTTCTCTTTTTCCATTGTTTACTTCTTGGGTATAGTGACGTAACGTAACGGCTCCGCAGATTGGTCCAAATCAAATCAAATGGACCTATCCGCGGAGCCGTTACGTTTGGACCAATCCGCGGACTTCCTCACACACACACACTCGGCGGGACGTTGCGAGGCTCGCTGCTGCGCGGAGCGGGACACTGTGAGCTGGCTCACTGGTGTGGGGTCGGCGAGACACGGCGGAACTCAGCCTGGGCACACACACAAACTCCCAGCCAGGCTGCGGGTGTGTGTGTGTGTGTGTTCGGGCTGGGTTTCGCTGGTTGCAGACGGCCACTGGGCTCACAGGGAGGGGGGGGCAGGAGCTCCAACAAGCCGTTTAGGACAGAGAGTGAATACACATACTATACAGAGATGCTGTATGAGAAAGAAATGTGAGTTTGGAAAATTGCACAATATACATTTATTTTAGTAGACCTCAACAATGGAATTATGATCAGTAGAAATGGCCATGACATGGGACCTTTAAGAGACTCCTTTTTGAGCTGATTACGCTATAATCACCCCATGGTTACAGTATGTATATGTTTGACGTCATATACATTTAGATATTCTACCCTATGATTATCCTTATGTGTTTGCCCAATTTACTTTTCAGTAATGAC